GATAAAGTATTTGTTACCATTATTCTGTGCTTTACTAGCGGGAACGACTGCACCTACTATATATTGTGTTAGATTCACTCCGTTATCACCGGAGCCCTAATAAATAACCACTGAACCACCCGCACACATGCGTTCTAATTCCAAAAGAAGATCCGTATGATACATAGCGTTTAGCTTTTCTCCATTGCCCGACATCGGTTGGTTTCTGTCCTGTAGACATACTGGTGATTTGGCTGGTTGCCTGGTTTCGTCCATAAAGGGGAAGGAGTTGACCGAATCGGTGGAAGTCGGTAAAGTTTTCCCCCTCTCTTTAGAGCTTCGAAAGGGTCCGCCGGGAAGGGTTGTCCAATCTCATTGTTTTCTTGCGTTCAAGCGCTTTTTTTGCGAGGAAATTCTCCACGCTGTTCAAATTTTCTCAAAGTGTCTTCGTTGTTTCATGTTGTTCGAATTGTTGTGAACATGAAGTTAGTGACTAATGCAGGAATGGATTCGAAGTTATTCCGGACCTAGGAGTACGCTAGTAGGTCCTTTACTTTTGTGAAGTGAAATTATACATTTGTGACTGATTTTTTCTATCTAATTTCGGAAACCAATAAATAATGACTTAGTTTTTTCAAAAAGGTATTCGTGACTCCATCCCTTGACCCATAACTCTTTCCTTGTGCCATTACTATTCTAAGAAAAAGCTTATGAATGCCATTACTATTCTAAGAAAAAACTTATGAATTGAGAAATGTTCATAGGATTCACTCTTGCTAACTGTTCGTCTTTGTGGCTGTGATCCCCGCAGTTAGAAAGTAGCGGTGTGGGCGGTTGACGCTTTCGTAACTGTGCGAAATGCACATTAGACAAGCCTAAACTTGGAAGGTTTGCAGTCGTGTACCAGCTAAAACAACAACAACAACCGATAATCTGCCCTGCTTCCTGTGCGATCTCACTCGCTTTTTTTTTGAATTGGGAAGTTGTCTCTGAAGTTCTGGATATCTCCTCAAGAATTTTTATTATCTCCTCAAGAATTTGTAGACCAGCAATCCAAAACATTCAGTGATATCGTAGAAAAATTCTACAAGGCCATAAAAATTAATTCGAAGTTCATTCAGTTCTTTTTTTGTTTTCTTTTTTTGCAGAGTGCTTCCTTTTCTTCATAGCCTTCGAATTCGGTGCACTTGGAGCCTGCTACGCCTTCTTCGTAAAGATTTTTGTCAGCTTCAACTCCCCTGTAAAATATGAATTGTCCATCGCAACCTTGAGAACTCCACACCCTTCAAGATATAAACTCACTTTCCGTAGACGCATGCAACCGAATAATAGGAGGCGTCTGAGCCAGCCTTCTTGCAAGAGCGCACTGAGCAACCGACTTTATCTTCGTCCGCCTCAGCCATCTGGAAAGACTGGGCTGTTGGTAATTGTTGAATAGCCTACAGAGAATGTAGGGTCTTCAGCATGCAAAAAATGTTGACTTGAGGCAAACCTTACGGGAAGTGCCATACAGTGATGGCGACATCGAAAAGGAAACATGTACTGCTTGGTTGCATCAATTTACATTTCTCTCTACTCCTCTTTTGTCGGCTTTTGTATGGAGTTCTAAGAGCATTTATTAGCAAGATTGTCTCATAACCCACCAAGAAGAAGGGGATCGTCACGTTGTCATCCATAGTAAGTTTCTGGGGGTCTTGCCATTGTGAGCTCTGGTTCCACCATTGTGAAGCAGCCTTGGAATCAACCAACAAGTCCCAGTCTCACGTTTCAAGATAAACGTAAAGTGCTTAGCATACCTCTCCTGGCGCGCTAATTTCACCATTGTCTTTGTGTGATTTGATAAGGGCGAAATTTGTTTTGGTTTCATTGAATCGCCATGTCTCTGGAATTCCTTCGCATGCTGAGGGCAAATTTTTGGCTTCCTCTTCCAGTTTGCAATCGTATCCCTGAAGAAAGCCATCTACATGGACGCTGCAGTCGTTCAAAAATGAAAACCCTCATTGCTAACCATAAAACGCATGTTTGCTGCAGACGGCATTTGTTTTCCATTGATATTGGCACTTCCGTTAGCGAGTAAAGCCCTTAAATAACATTATTCACGACATCGGATCGCCAGGTACAGTATCCAATCGGCCTGTTGTTTTTCACAAAGGTATCTTACATATTACCAATAACGATTCCTATTTGATCGGATTCTACTTGGGAAACAATTATCAAGGGTTCGCACCTTCTTGTGTTGTGTTCCTCCAGGAATGTTCTTCGAACTGTATATCCCGCTCCGGGACAGTCGGGTATATCTGAAACGTGATAGCAGTAGCAGGGAACACTTCCGCAGGATCGGTTTCTGTAAGCAATAAGAATGGCTGCATTGATGTATCACGAACCTGAGCGCCGGGTCATGTATCCATTGCTGTTCTGTAGAGCCTGAAACTGATAACTACATTCACTTGCCTGTCTGGAAACTACATTATAATCTTAAGAACAGCGATTAAATGGAACGTACCAGGAGTAGAATGGCTGTTGAGTAAGTGAGCATTTTGAGCTTCACAGTAGCTTCTGCAAAGGACCTTTCTTAACAATAATATCTATGGATTTCGTTATGTGATATTCTGATGCCGTAGCCTTCGAGCGTGAGGGTACTTCACAGAAAAGAGCTGCGTTTATACGCAGCAGATTTTTTTAGGCATACGTGTGATTGCCTCTGTGCGTTGCTAAGCTGATTAAAGGCACCGTTAGCTATAAATTTAGGGTACCTTTTTTAAGAGGAATTGATAGAACTACTCTAGAATAAAGCGATAACAACGAAAAATGCGCAAAAAACGATGAACAAAAAGAATTACAAAGGGTCAAAAAAGAGCTGGAAAGGGGGGTTGGACGAGTTTCACATTGAAATAACGGCGGTTAGGGAGTGTTCGGGAGTGGCGACGCAATGTGTTGTCTGCAATAGCAGACAACAAATTGCGTTTCTGGCAATTTGCCGACCAGCTTATCGACTTTTCACCAACTTCGCTCCAATGCGAATGTGGTGAAGGACAATTAGAACTCGTAGTCAGCCTAGCGAGGGGCGGAGGCCTCTCTTCCCCCACTGTTCCTGCCCTTATTGTGCCCTATCCAGCCGTTTTCCGACCTCATTCCTGCACAAATGGTATCAGAGGGGGCTTCGAATTCAAACCATGTGCAAATCTCCGAAACCGCTTTCGTAAATGGTGCCTTTAAGCATGCACTTGATTGGAACCGCTTAACAGTTCAAAATAGCATCTCATTTGATCAGCAGCGTTTCCTTCACTTGTGAGTGATACAATGGCTGATGTGATTACAATGGCTCCACCCAGCTGAACCGTGGGGACATTCCCTCGGTGTCTCTCCACAGCTAGTGTTCGTGGCTAGTGCAAGCTAGTTAGCCGTCACAGATATCATCGAAGTCAGCCCTACCGGTACAGGGAGGGTGGTGTGACTGGAGTGCATTACCTGAAACAGGTAGGACTTTTCCAAGGCGAATGAAGCAAAGAAATTTGTCTGATTGGGAATCATTCCATTTCCATTTCATACAGAATTAAACGCTGAGAGTCCAGGGAGCCTTGCAAAGGCTACTAAAGTGATTGCCCGCAACCGACTTTACTGAACACGAGACAAATGTTTCCCGCACGAGTCCCTGCTTCTTAACATACCCATCTGATCAGATTTGGTAACTATTTAATAGGTGCAGCTAAGGTGTTGCCTCCGGTTAGAGATGGGCATTGATTCCAAGGTAAGCCAGAAGAAGTTCTAACTGGTTCTTCAACTGGTTCCAAACCTAAGATTGTTTGCTGGGGAAAAAAGACAATTGAGAAAACAGAATGTAAAGTGTTTGAATGGAATCTCTCCTCGTCCCACTTTTATACGGATTTCGTAGCGAGATACAGCAAATAGTATTTGATAAAGCTGATATTTGCTCAAACATTGCCTTCTATTTCCTACGGTAAAGCAATCAGTTGCGGACAATTCATCTGACAAGCTGCACTATATTTGTCTTACTTGCCCTTTCTGTCTGTTGCTCCTTGTCCGTTTGCATTTGCAAGCAGGTATGCCTGCACTGATTTGGACATTGCTTCGGCCCCAAAAATTGCTCTTAGCTTTGAGCATTCAATACCTGGCTTGTAGGTCCTCATGATGCATCTCACATTTTATTCTCCTTATTCTCCTTGTTAGAGAGAGGAAGAGAGCGGAAGAGGGATTGCAAGTTGCTGAGTATTTGTATCGTATTTCCTATATTCAAAGGGTTTCAGAAGAATCCGGTGCCGATTTAACAGGTTTTAGAGATCAAGGGCTTTGTTGCTTGAAGTGGAAACGAAATTTGATGTGAGAAGCGATTCAGTGGCGGTAACAGCCGAGTTTACATCATCGTAGCAGGTTCCAGGTGCGCAAAACTTCATCGGAGTGCACTAGTTTCTGAGTAGCGTTTCGTAAGAATCTAATGCTGCTGGTGTAACTAAGCTCCAAGCCGCTTCCATCTTTTCCAAGATCAAGAGTCAAGCATTCAAACTGCAGCTGCACGATGGTATGTTTTCAATGTTATTTTGTTTTGACGTTCATTATGACCTGACCTTTGTTCCGTATGGTACTGCGTTGACGTGGAGATCCGGTGAAACCGAGGAATGCTCTACCAGAAGCATTGCTCTTCGAATTAAATTGCATACCTACAACCTTCCAGTCCAACTAAACCTCCTTCATGCGGTCAAGTTATCAGACCCGTCTGGAAAGTTAGAGCCATTGAATTGCATATTGACTGACCCGCTAGTCGTTGTACCAGCGACAGATACCTTATAAACGTCATTACAGTTCAGAGAAAGGCTCACGAACGAGGACGCATTCCAAAATTTATTTACTTATATGGTAATACATCGCAAGGATGTGTCACAAGAAAATGAATAGGAAAAGAGTATTCAAACACACTGCATAGTTCCATGCACAGCATCAAGGGTGTCATTGGTGGCTACGACATCCACAATGAACCAGATCATGTAGCACTCAGAAAATCACTCGCATCTCAATCAACAACAGTTAGTTGTAGAGAACATGGCAATCGCATCGTTACGATGGGATAGTGGCGAGGCGGTGTCTGTAAATCTTTGCCCTTCCCCTTTTTCGCATTGCATCAGCAAGACACTGGAACTGCTGAATTTTGAAGCGTTTTTTGAAACATTTTCGTTCCTTGTCCTCTTTTTGAAAACCTGTTCGATGAACACTTTCCATAATCGGCACCATACCACAGAAAAGGAGGATAAGTGATCGGAGATATGTGGGAGAAAACATGACTTACAAGTGCATCAACATTCCGTTGCACGTTCCTATTCCTCATTTTCATTCAGCTGGCCAAACAGTTCCCGAATTTATTGGAACTGCCAAATGGTGGTGAACGTTGGTACTATGAGGTAAAGTGTATACAATGTCGTACAACTATTTGATCAGCAAAGGAAGGCGCCAAACCCAGAAAAAAGGGATAAGTGATTGAAGAGCTATGGGGAAAACACGACTTGCAAAAACATCAACATTCCATTGCACTTTCCTTTTTCCTCTATGTTGTTCAGTTGGCCAAACACTTTCCAAATTTGATTGCAGAATTGCCAAATAGTAGTAAACGCTGTTTCTTTTCTCAAGAGGGTGTCTGCAACGCTGTACAGTTTTGTGGTCGAAACGTTTCATCTGAGCGTTCTGAACAAAGCGTTCAAACTGGAGTTGCGTTTATGCTCAATAAATATGTAGTGTACAAGTAGGTGTTAGAATTCATACTGCATTTTCATACCCCATGTTTGCTATTGCAGACAGCTGTAATAGTCGAGCTGTACTGTCTTGTTGGTGATTTGCTTGAATTAGTTTCTCTAATCTTCTCCCACGTGTTATCAGCGCATGTTTCTTCATCCTTCAGCCATCTTAGAACATCAAAGATGTCGAGAGCGAGTAGGCTGTTTTGGAGAGGAAAAGATGCGTGGTGCATGTAAAAAGAATGGTGCAATCATGCCGATTTCTACGAGTCGAATCCCTGGAACCCAACTATGACGTATGGGCTGTTGGTCAAGGTGAAGGGTGGCTTAGGTAGAGCGTAGTGAGGGCGTTCTTGGTTTTACTTATTGTAACAAGCTCCTCACCACTCAGCACGATTGAAACCTGTTCCTGATACTCCTTCTGTACCACTTCCGCCGTCATAAGCTCCCTCAACCTCCGTATGTATGTATGTATGTATGTATGTATGTATGTATGTATGTATGTATGTATGTATGTATGTATGTATGTATGTA